CAATGAAAAAGAAATTAGATAATCTATTAATTTCAAAAGAATTTATAGAAGCAGAAACACAAGGCATTAGTACTGGAATGCTATTTGATCGAGAATCAGTTCGTTTTATCACTAAAATTGTTCAAGAAATTAAAGAAAAAAGAGATGTTGGTGAACAAAAATTGAAAGAAAGAGAAGTTCAAAACTTAAAAGAAGAATTAGAAGAATTAAAGAAGAAGAATGAAGTTATTGAACAAATGCTTACAGAAAGTCAAAATAAAGTAGAAGATCTTAACAACCAACTTGAATTAGAAAGAGCTTTAAATGGAGATAATCAAGAAATGAAAGAACAAAAAGAAGTTCTTTCTCAAGAAAATGAAGCATTAACAAAAAAACTTACATTAAAAGAAGAATCTATTATTCAAATACAACAGCAAATAGATACTCAAAAGAAAGAAGAAACAGAATTAATAAATAAAAATGAAGAATTACAAAATCAACTCAAACAAAGTGAAGAGGAAATTAAGAAATTAAAAGAAAATCAAACAAAATTAGAAGAATTATTAAAAATTCAAAAAGTAAATGAAAATGAATGTGGCAAAGTTCAAACAGAATTAAATATGGTCAAAACCCAATTAATAAAAATGCAAGATGAAGCTAAAGAAAAAAATTCAACAATTGGAGAATTAGAAAATAAATTAATGCTTCAAGAAAACAATATCTTACAATTAAAAGAAGAAATTGTTTCAAAAGAAAAAGAAAAAATGGAAATGAAGTTAGAACTTGATTCAATTACTAAAACTAACCTAATAGAATCTGAGTCTATAAACAATAACTGGAAAAATGAAAAAGAAAGTTTATTAAAAGAAATTGATTCTTTAAAAGAACAACTAGACTCAAAAAGTGATGAACTTTTACTCAACCAAATGCAATTAGATGAATATATCAAAGTAAATGATGAATTAAATCAAACTGTGAATAATTTAAATAAACAACTTAATCGATTTAAAGAATCATTTGAATCAATAAATAAAGAAGTTGCTGATTCTTTTAATGATTCAACTGAAATACCACAAGAACAACCACAACAAGAAGATAATAAAACTACTTCAAAAATAATACAAACACCACAATCTACTGAAGAAAATAATGAAAAAAATCAGTCTCAAACAATAACTGATCCAACTACTGCTGGAGTTCAAATACCAACTGTCACAATGAATGATTTAATATCAACCATTCATTCAATCTTTAATTGAATTTTATTTTTTTTTATATTTATCAAGCAAGAACAAAAGAAAATAAATTAAAGTTGAAAAGGAGTTTCATGGTTAATAAATTTTTTCTTAGTACGAGAACGATAATTAGCAAACCAAGTATTGAGTTGTTTGATTGAAATATTGCATTGATTACAAAGGGAATGTTTTTCAAGTTCAGAAGGATAAGGGTATTGGAGATGATTCATAAACCAATGTTTGAGAATAGATTTAGAGCGTTTGTCTAAAAAGTTTCTTGGAGAACGATAAGAATGGTTAGAAAGAGGAAGAAGAGAAGAAAGAGAAGAAGGGAGAGAAGGAGAAGAAGGGAAGATGAGAAGAGGAGGAAGAGGAATAGCATTTGAATTAAGAAAGTCTTTAAGATTGAGAATAAGAAGATATTTGAGATGGGAATAAATATTAAGAAAGATAGATTTAATAGAAAGGAGTTTAAAATGAAGTTCAATAGGAAGAATTGAAGGAAGAAGAGAAGAATTTAATTGAGAAGAATAATATTCAGCATATAAATTAAGAATTTCAACCAAAGAAGTAAAAGAAGAGATAATTTTATTAAAATTATCTAATATAACAGGAGAAGAAATAGATGGTAAAATTAAATTTAAAGAATTAATAATAACATCATCATCAATATTCATAGGAATAGTAATTAATTTAGTTGTTACTTCATTTAAAATATTTTCTACATTTATATCATTAATTAATTGGTTATCAATTTCTTCAAATATATTCTTTATTGAATTATTATTTTGTTTATCTACATCATTCATTTCTTTATTCTTTTTATTCTTTCTTTGTTCATTATATTATTTTCTTTTTTTTTCTTTGACTTTCTTTCTTTCTTTCTTCTTATTTGTTTAATTCTCTTTCTTTTTATTCTTTCTTTATTGCTTTCTTTCTTCTTATTTGTTTATTTCTCTTTCTTTGTCTTTTTTTTTTTATTACTTTATTTCTTTACTATAATTCTTCTTCTTATTTGTTTATTTCTCTTTCTTTGTCTTGTTTATTTCTTTATTCTTATCATTTATTTCTTTTTTAATCTCTTTTTAATCTCTTTTTAATCTCAATGTTTAGAGCAAAATGTTCCAATGACAATACAAAACGCAAATACAAAGACTTTCATTTTCTTTGAACAAATTAATTTGTGTTATTTTCACCATTTCAACTACTTCATCAATTATGTTAATGTTCAATCCTGTTTGAATATAAATATCATCTTTCAACAACAAAACACATCTTTTGATAATAGTCAGAATATAACATGAAACAATGGATAATAAATGAATACTCTTCGAGAATACGAAGTATAACAGAATAGAAATATTTAATAACTGAAGAAATAAAAGCATAATTCAATTTATTATTGACATTCATCAATCATTTCTCATTTCATTTTTATCATCATTTTCATGTTTATTTCATTCAACAAATCATTCATTTGAAGTGATAATGAATGTTTCTCTTTCTCTTTCATTATTCAATACATTGAATAATTTGAATTTCATACATTCTCAACATCTTTTACACTCTCCAAAATGAATAATAAGAAATAAAAGAAGAAAGAATGTTTAACAAATGACATTAAATGAATATAAGAATGAAAAGAAGAATAAAACAAAAAGAAGTCATAAAGAGGAAATGATAAACCATGATGAATAAGAGAATACATGAAGAAAAGAAATAAGAAAGAAAATAAACAAACATAAAAGAAGAAATAAAAAGAATAAAGAATAAAATAAGAAAGAAATAAGAGAAATATAATACAGATAAAACATATGAAATAGAAATTGTATTTTGTCTTTTTTTCAAATTCTCTTTTCTTTTATTTCTTTTATTTCATTTATTTCTTTATGTTTAATGATATTTTATTTAAGTGACATTTTAACAAATGTTAAATTAAGTAACAATGAATGATGTATCATTAATTCTTCTTAATCTCAAGAATAAATAATGATATATTTTAAACATAAATAACAAAGATAAAAGAATAATAATTAGAGAATGAGAAAGAAATAAGAAGAAAAAGAAATATCAACATAAACATGATGTATTTTATTATTTCATTAATTTGATAAATTCATTAAAAATGAGAAACATACAATATAAAACAACGAGTGAAATAAGAGAGAAACATACCAAAAAGAAAACAAATGAAAGAAGAAAGTGTGAAAATATGTAATAACTATAAATTCAGAAATATAATAAAACACAATACAACAATACAAGCAAATATAACAAATATAACAATAAACATATGAAAAGAAACATTCAAGAAATCAAACATCATCATAAAGAAATAATTTAATAGAAAGACAAATAAAATAATACAAAGAAAGTAAATAAAAATAAAAGAATATATTCAGTTAAGGAAATGTATGAAAAAAGAAAGAAATAAAAGATAAAATGAAGAGAATATATAAGAAAATGAAAAGAATAACTAATGATAGTAGAATACCAATAAAAAGAATGAGAATAATACATATAAAAAGAATGAGAATAATACATATAAAAAGAAAAGAAGAAATACAAATAATAAATATACAATAAAATGTAAATATGAAATGAAAAATACAAAGAAAACAACAATGATAAATTCAAATAATGTAAATAATAACATAACAACACAAATAATAAATATAAAATAATGTGATGTAATGAAGACAAACAAATATTAACATATGAATATACAAATAAAGAAATAAAGAAATAAGAAATACATACTTGAATGAAAAAGAAAGAAAATAAAATAAGAAATTCAAATGAATAATAATGAAATCAACATACAAACAGAAATAATCAATAAAGACAAAAAATGAAATAAGAAATATAATAATAACATAACAGAGAGAAGAAATACTATAATAATAATGATATAAATTAATATAAGAATATAGAAAAGAAAAATAAATAGAAAATAAATACAAAGAAGAAAATAAAACATAAAAAAGCAAAGAAACAAGTAGAAATACTAACTTGAATACTAACAATAAATAATACACAAAAACAATAAGAATAATAAATACAATAAGAATACAAATAATTATCAAAAATATGAAAGAATTAATATTTTATATTTTCAAAATTGAATAAACATATAAAAGAAAAATAAACTAATATGAATATATCATAAACAACAATTATTATACAACAATGAATAAAATAAAAAATGAATAAACAAAGAAAATAAATGAAGATAGAAATATTATTTGAAAAAGTATTTTCAATAATTCATTACAAGTATAATATTTCTTTTAATTTCTATTTTCTATTTCTTTCACATATTCTTTAATGACTAATTCATTTATTTTTTTCAAACATTTCAAATGAAATCATTCATTCATCTTCATTCTTCTCTATTTGTTCATCTTTATTATCTTCTTCTATTTTCTTGTTTTATTTTTGAAATGTGTTAATTTCTTCTTTAATTTCTTTTAATTTCTGATGTTATTTATTATTATTTCAACTTTACAACTTCAAATTCTTTGTTTAGATGTTTGTTATTTATTCTTTCTTCAATTATTTTAATTATTATTCTTTCATTATTTCTTCTTTGAATCTCTCGATTATCTTTTTCATTTTGATTGAATATACTTCTTGATGAATATTATACAATCTCTTTATCTTCTTACTTTTTAAATATTTCATCATATTCTCATTTCTCCATCATTTCTTGTTAAACATTTATGTTTGTTATTTGTATAATCTTTATTAATATTGTAATTACTTGTTTCTTATTTGTTTTTCATAGTGTCTTTCTCTTCTAATCCTTTTTCCTTGTATTTCTTTTACCATTCATTGTATTAATTCTATGAAATATATTGTTATTGCCATTCATTCTGTTGTACAAGGATGAACTTCTATGAAGTGTTTGTGTTTCATTACAGCACCGAATGCGAATGTTCAATAAGCAAGAAATGACAAATGATGGAATATTTTCAATTGGAAAATAACCACCAACATTAGATAAAAGAATAAACAAAGGAAGAAAATATCAAAATCCAATAAATTTATGAGGAAGTAAAGAATAAACCCAGAAGTTTTTTAAGTTGAAAACTTAATAATAAATGACACAAGAATTTGTGTTATTACAATGTTTTTCATGCAAAATGTTTCAAGTGCATATTAAGAAGAAAACGAAGAAATTTGAATGCAAAGTTTGTGGAGCAAAGCAATCGTACAAACACATATTTGGTATATCTAAACAAGCAAAGGATTTAAGACAAATATGTGGAGAGTATAATGAAAAAAGAATAATAGAAGAAGAACAACACATTGAAAAACAAGTTAAACAAAAACAAAAACAAAAAGAAGAAGACAAAGTTTTGGATATTAAGGAAGAAGAAAAGATAAACAAAGGAGAAGAAAGCATTTGGAAAGAATTTGAGGAAGAAGAAGTTGAAGAAGGGGATTTATATCAGAAAATGATAAAACCACATGAAAGGGAAGAAAAGAAAAGAAAAACAGAGAAGTCAAAGAGATGTAAAGAAAAAGAAGAGAAACAAATAAAAAGACAAATAACAAGTAAAACACAAACAATAAAACTGTTGAAAGAAAAAGAAAAACAAGAAGAAAAACAAGAAGAAAAACAAGAAGAAAAACAAGAAGAAATAAATGATATTGAAGAAATATTAGCATTATTTGAAAATAATTCTCAAAAAATAAAAGATGAAAAAGTTGAAGAAAATCAAGAAAATAAAAATATTCAAAAACCTTTAAATTTAAAGAATGAAGAAAATAAACAAACAAAGTCACCAATCAAATTGAGTACTATTTTTCAAACAATGAAACAAACTACAAGTCAAAATCCTGAAGAGGATGAATTTCTTTTTGGAGGGAATGAAGAAGAAGATAATATAAAAAAGAAAACAAAGTCAATATGGGATGATTTTTAATAATGATATTTTTATTTCTTCAAATTTACAATTTCTTCTATTTTATTATTCTTGTTCATTAAAGAAAACAATGGTAAATGACAATAACCAATAATCAAAATTGTATTAAATTCCTTTTTTATTTTTTATTTAAAAAATACGTTTTTAAATTTCTTTTATGAATTTATCTTCATTATAAAGAAGAAATGATATTAAACTATCTCCACTTCAAAATTCAATATCCTTAAATAAATATATGAATGGAATTTATTTTATTTCTTCCCATCAATAAATATCATATTTATTAGAATTATTTTGAATGAAATATTTTCTTCTTTTTCTTTTTCTTTAGGATAGTTAATTGGAATATTAATATATTCTAAACATTCATCATTTTTATTCTCTTCATTTAAGACTTCATTATCTAACTGTTAATTTTAGTGTATCATATAGTTTGTTCATTTCACAAAATTTACTTGTGTAAAGTGCAAATGAATATACAACATCTCTTTTTAATGTCACTTGTTCATAAATCTTATACCCTTTTTGTTGTTCTAAAATATTGATTTTATTTAAGAAGATATCCATTGAAACAAAGTCAATATGTAACATTAATCAAATGTTTATCCTTATAATATTTCATCCTAAAACTATTAGTAATGATAAAATCAATTGTCTTATTCTTTGACATCTTATTGATTGTATTTCAAACAATAATTTGACATTCATAATAATATTCTCTATCATCATATTCTTCATAGTTGTTTTTTATTTCAACATATTGGATCAACACATCAAGTTATTCTATTTTGTTAATGAAATATATTCATCTTCACATGAATATGGAGATTAGTGATAATTTATTTCTGTGTAATTATCTCATGAATCATTTTCACATTCTTCTCATTCATCTTTTTCCATTTTCACACAATGAACAACTGTTTTGGTTTAAACAATATCCATCATTACAAATACATGTTTGTGTTACTTTATCACAAATTCCATTTCCACTACAGTTATAATGATATATTGTTGTAATGGTTAAATTCAATTCATCACTATTATTTGTTATGTCACATCAAAAATAACATAGTTGTAATGACTTGACAATATTACCATCAATGAGACATGCTGACTTTATTGTTTAGAACATCATTTAACATCATTTCTTTCACAAACAGCATTTGTTTGATGATTTTTACAATTATAACTACAATTATTTGTAAGATTAACATTTCCATTTGTTTGAACTTTAATAAAAGGAATGAAATATAAGAATTTGAAATAGATATACACATATTAATTAATCAATTTCTATCAATTCCTTGTAAAAACATTATAACTAAATTTATTTTCAAATAGTACATCCAGTTGATGATTATATTCAATGTATTGTATTACTCAATGTTGTAAATCCACTTTTATTATCTTCTTGTTAATTAACTACTGAATAAACATAAGAATAATGATGAACAATAGATGTAAATAAAATAAGAACAACAATGGTAAAAGATATTCAAAATAGTTTATAATCAAACAGATAATACTTAATTAATTAGTTTTTATTGTTAGTTGTAATATAATTCTATTAAATTTAACAAACTATGTTAAATTATCATTGTCTTCAATACATTCTTATGTTTTTTCTTCTGTTATTTTTTTATTGATGATTAATTTGAAATAACACAAACAGTATCTTCTCCATATGCATTTCCTTGTGTATCTATAAATTCAATAGAAACAGAGTCATAATGTTTTCTATTTCTATTGTAATCTACTGTGTTTTCTTTGGTGTGAATTTAATCCAATACATTGGTGCATATGGTGATTGAATAAATAATCTTTTAGAATATGTATTTATTGACATTTCTTGTTTATCAAGAGTTAATGTAAGTGTTTGAATTTCATCATTTATAGTAATAGAAAAGTTATGTTGTGTGGTATATTCTTGACATGACTTTCCACCACTTTCATTCATTGTTAGATACTTGAGACATTCTTTTGGAATATATCCTTCATCACATCATAAACAATCTAGACAACACCATTTCTCATCACAATATCCACATTCGTCTGGAGTATAACACCCTGTTTTACATCCATCAATTAAACAAGATGAAACACACTTAACTGAATAAGTTTCATCTTCAAGAAAATAACCGTCTTCACACATACAATCCTTTCTACAATTAATTCATCACATCTTCATCAAATCATTGACAAATCCAATCACCACACTTACACATACAATAAGTGAAGAAAAGAACAACATTTATTATTATCTTTTCCTTCATTTTGTTGTTTTTTTCTTTTTTTTCTTTAAAACTATTAAAAAGTTAAGAATTAAAGTTTTAATTCTTTTTTTTATTTCACACTCTGAAATTAAATAACAAAAAATTTAACTTTTTTATCAAACATATTCTTGTTTTCCCCAATGGAATCAGCCATTTTTAGTAACTTATTCATTCTTCTTTGATACCATGATTCTAATACTTTAATTTGATGGAATTTATAAGATGAAAACTAATTCATTAGACATTAGATTTTCATATGAAATATTTTTTGAATTAGACTCTCTTCATTTATTTTTAGACTTTTTAAACTAATTCTGTGTATTTTCAACAATTATCAAATATCTTTTGACTTCTATTCATTTCAAAATTGTTTTATAAAAAAGATAATGTAGTATTAGTTTCAATAAGTTGTTTCTTCAATGGTTTGTTTTTCATCTTTAAGAATGACAATGGATAAATAACTGCAACGAAAAAAAATCAAATAATTGAAAAAGAAGAGAATGAATGATATAAAAGAATAAAAAGAAAGTAAGAAGTTTGATATGGTGAAGAAAGAATAAAAGTAGAACGGAGAGAAGATAAAAAGAAAGAAGATAAAGTGTAATAAAAGAAAAGAGATGATAAAAGAAGAAAAGAATGAAAAAAGATGCAAATTTTATTGAAACAAATAAAAAAAACACAATAAAAAAGCGCAAAATTTAATGATGCAAAATATTTTGAAATAAAAATAATTCATCATTTGATATTATTATTATATTTGATAATAATTTATATTATATATTAAATACATCATATTTCTTTATTATTTATCTTTCTTTTTATTATTTCATATATTAAATTATTATTCATTCATTTATTATTTATATTTCATTTATTAAATAAAATGAAAATGAAATTGTAAAATATCAATCAATTAAATATTCATGAATAATAATTTATTAATATTTAATAATTGAAATAACAAAGAA